AGGAATGAAGAATCCATTTTTAAAGCTTGTTTACACCCCTTTCATATATTCCCATGAACCACGGGGTGAGAAGTGCTGCTCCACAGGGCATGGGGGGATGGGACACCCGAGTTCTTGGGGAGGGGGCAGGAGGTAAGAGCAGGGGGGTGATGAGAACATTTGCCCCCTGTTGAGAGGGCTGGAGGGGGGAGGAACGGGACAGGAGACACCAATAACCTCCCCTGGCAAACACCCCAGAGCCAGCTGGCAGCAGGTAGCCCTGGTATCCCTCCACTCAGGCTCAGCTCATTGTGGGCAGGCAGGGATTTTCCTCCTACTCAGCCCGGCCTGGCCTGGGGGCTCCCCTCCTTCTGCAGCAGGGGCACGGCTTGGACCTGAGCTCTCTGCAGCAGGGGTTGGGCTAGATGTGCCCCTGGGGGTCCCAGCTCTGGGATTTGGGGAGAGGAACCCGGGAGCAGGGAGGGAGCTGCTTGTGCCTGCACTCACTGCCTCTTGGTTGGTGTTGTAATCCTGATTGGGAGGTCCTTTACAAGTGTTTGATCCTGGACTTAATGACACTGGCTGTGCTTCAGCAGGTAACAGGAAAGATCCTGAGAAGGTTGTCATCTTCTTCCCTCTGGGCAAACACCAACCTGCCGCAGAAATACATCGTCAGTGACCATACAATCCCCCAGCTAGGATTTGTCCTCCCTGAAATGCATCCGACTCTGCGTGAAAAGTGTAAACACCTGCTCTGTAACTGGAAAATCAAAGAGAGTCCGGGTCGTGATCGTGGCGCAATTTTTCAGGGACACTGTGAATGATTGCCCGATTAGATAATTTAATGATGATCTTTAAAAAACAAACAAACAAACAAAAACCAAAACAAAATCAATCCATGCAGCTACCCCTGAAGCAGTCGAAGTTATCAAATTTAGATATTAACCTGTGAATGCTGTAATCCTAAAATGGCATACGAAAGAACCTCCTTTTCCAACCCCTGCTTTCCCTCCCAGCCTGTCTCCCAATACAGCCTTTTCCAACACCTGCTTTCCCTCCCAGCCTGTCTCCCAATACTGGTGATACTGGTAACACTGGGGCTAAGACATCAGGAACACATGGGACACCTGTACAGAAGATGCACACACTGGTGCCTTCTTCCCACCCCCATAAGCAGAAGGGGGTGGGGGAAGGGCTGAGAGGCTGGATGTCTGGGTTCTCCACCAGCTCTGGGAGACTGGTGGAGTCTGGGGACTGGTGGGTTGGAGCAGGGGGAGATGGACCACTTGGTTCAAGGGGGTGACCCCATGATACCCAACCCCAGCACCAACCCAGGGCCAGCTGCATTGGGGAGCCTGGTTATACCCAACAGCCAATGCCCACCCCAGAGCCAGCTGCAGCTCAGCCCCCTGCTGTACGCAACCCAGTGCTCCCTTACCACCTGGGAAGGGGTCTGAACCATGTGCTGCCTGCTCCGCGTCTCCTGCAGCTTCCAGCTCCTCCCAGGTTGTGGCTACTTCAGTTTCTTCCTCAGCGACCGGCCAAGTAGGAACCATCTCTGATGTGTCTGCTCTGACCACCCCTCAACTATTCAGCCTCTTTCAAGTACTGCAAGGAAGAAGGATGCAGCTGGTCACCATTAAGGCAGCACTGGTATGTAAGAAAGAGAAAAATTGGTGGGTGGTGTGACTAGCTCTGGAGTGGGCTGCCATGGCCAGGTATAACAAGGGGCTTAGATTCTGCAGCCTCTCGGGTGGGTATATGAGGGGGGCAAATCTGGCCCGCCAGGCACTTTCATCCAGTCCGTAATGCCCACCAGGTAACTGCACCCCACCCAGCCTTTCTGCCCACGAGGGTGGAAGTGAGGTGCACACATGTCCACACACCCCCAAACACATACACCATTGTGCCTTGCTCCCACCCTTGTGGGCAAAAGGGCTCAGCCAGCATGTAGCTTCCAGGCAGGACTGCTGCTGGGACCTGCTTGGCTTATAGTATCTCCTACTGCCTCCAGGCAGCAGGTAGGGAAGTGGGGGGGCTGCAGCTGAACAGGACCCCGGAGTGTGGGGCTGGTGGCAGCACAGAGCCTGCATCAAGGGAAGCGGTGGCAGCATGAAGCTTGGGTGGGCATGTAGTAGTAGTAGTAGCTCGGGGCAGGAGGGACCTGAACAGATCATCTCGCCTGCCCCCGCCACAGGCAGGAATGGATGCCGGGGTCACAAAAACCCCCACA